TTTCTTTTCAATTAAAAAAACCTTATTCAATTAGAAGCGACCAAATTTTACAGTCAAGAGACAGCATCAACAGAATCTTCAAACTAGTGGGGAGCAATAAGAGGTTTTGCGGTGGAAAAGGAGGGAAGATGGTGGAAGGAGGGTTTTGGAAAAAGAGTTTGATGAAGTGCTTGGAGAGCTAGACATGGAGCAGTAGCCTGATGGAGAGCAAAGAATGTCGTCAAAGACAGTTTCATGGGAGAGAGAAGAGGTAAGGGAGAATGTTTAAAAAAAATAAAAATTAAAAAGGGTTAATGAACAGTTGCTATAAGGAAATGAATAATTTCGGTACGAGAAATTTGTAACTTCACTTATCATGATAATAACACTAAGAATAAAATCAAGTAAAGCTGTGTGTATCAACAACTCTTGTAAGAAAAGTAACCATTTCAATATGGGCTATAAACAATTTCAGTATGGGAAATTTGTAACTCTTTTTTCCATGATAACAATACAAGAATAAAATAAAATAAAGTTATATGTACAAACAACTTTTGTAGGAAAGTAACTACTTCAATATGAATAATGAATAATTTCAGTATAGAAAATTTGTAACTCTTTTTACCATAATAACAGCACAAAGAAAATAATAAAGTAAAGTTCTGCACACAAACAACTCCTATGAGAAAATTAACTATTTCAGTATGAGAAACAAACAACATTAGTAGGGGGAATTTGGCAAATGTCTTTAAATAGGCTAAAGCCACTTCCATAAATAACAAGTCATGCTAGATAAATGAATAACTATAATATGCGCATAGCTTCACTTGATTTTATTTTTAGTGTTGTTATTATGGTAAAAAAAGTTGCAAATTCTTTCTATTAAAATTGTTTATTGCCCTACTGAAGTAATTACTTTTTCTATAGGAGTTGTTTGCATGTATAGTTTTACTTAATTTTATTCTTAGTGTTATTATCATATTAAAAAGAGTTGCAAATTTCTCACATTGAAGTTGTTTATGCCCAAATTGAAGTGGTTAGCTTTCTTATAAGAGTTATTTGTGCACATAGCTTAACTTGATTTTATTTTTAATGTTGTTATCATGGTAAAAAAAAAAGTTGCAAATTCTCCATACTAAAATTGTTTATTTTATTTTCCATATTAAAGTGATTATTTTTTCTATGTGAGTTGCTTATGCGTCTGACTTCACTTGATTTTATTTTAAGTTAGTTATCATGATAAAAAGAATTGCAAATTTCTTGTAATAAAGTTGTTTATTACTCATACTAAAATGGTTACTTTTTCTATATGAGTTGTTTATGTGCATAATTTAATTTGATTTTATTCTTAATGTTGTTATTATGGTAAATGAAGTTATAAATTTCTCATACTAAAGTTGGTTTGTTTTTCTATGGCAATTGTTCATTAACTCTCTTAAATTAAGGGGAAAAAAAAAAAAAAAATCCCCTTTCCTCTTCTGTCTCCCATGAAACTGTGCTTAATGACATTGTTCTTTGATTAGCTCCATGTCTCTCACTCCAAGCCCTTTCTGAAACTCTTCTTTCCTAAACCCCTTCTCTCCTGGTTTCCTCCACAGTCTTTGATTGTTCCTTGCCGGTTCGAAGATGCTGCCTCTTGATCGTGAAATTTGAACGTAGTTAACTAAAGAAGCTTTTTTTGACCCCCAAATCATTTTCCTCAACATTTTAATCTCATTTCACTTTTTTTGGTGTGCAATGAAGTTTCATATTTTAGACAGCTTTCTTTTTTTCTTATATTTGGTCAATGTGTTTAGATTGAAATTTTTCCTTTTAATTTTAATTTGTTTTTTGTGCCTATTTTACATCATCCCAAATTTCCTCGAGGGGATGTCATCATTTTTCTCTCGCATGATTGCATCTAAACTTTTGTGCTGTCGGCCGATGGGGGAAAAACAAAATGCTTTTGTAGTGCTTTTGTAGTGTCCGAGAGGACCCTTAAACCCCTGACAAAGCTGACCATGAAATATTCACACGAAATTTAAAATTAGGTGTCTCTTTTGTTGAATTGGAGACAGGAGACAGGTTAACATATATGATTGTTTATGTGTTAATTTTACTGAGGCTATATAGACACACACTGTGTCTCTCCGAATCAAAAGTATTCTTTAAACAATATTAATACTGTAGCAGCATTCTTATTCTCATTTACTAGTATTATCTGAATCTTCTTTAAAAATTAAAAAGTGAATTATACAGTAAATTTTTTTGGGGCCTAAATATACAGTAAATTAGTTGTCTTTTCAAAATCTCTTGGAAAAGGAAACTTGCATAATTATATTCCAACAAAAATTTAAAAAATTTTATGTAGATAATTTTTAATATATAATAAAAAATTTGAGCAGGTTTCGGAAAAGGAAAAAGTTGTATAATACAACAAACTCAAAGATAATTTTTTAAAAAAATTATAGGAGACAAATAGCTCATGTTGTAGACTGCCTTAGCATTAAGCCTAAATTAAATAAATTTTCAAAGTAAAAAAAATTATAAACACTCACCCGTATATTTGAGTGGCCTCGATCTATTTTATAAGTCATTTTATATTAAAAAATAATCATTAATTACTCCCTCCCTCTTGTCCTTAATGTATGCAATGTTTTAAAAGTTGGACCGAATGTTGAACAAGAAAAGTTAGTGATTCTAAGTTTTTATGATTTAACTATTTAGACAGTGATTGAACCGGTGATATAATAATTAAATTAAAATAATATTAAATGTATATATATATAATAAATATAAGAAAAAATTTATAGTATGTCAATAAAATGAAATAGCATAATCATAAATTAATAATATCATAAATTATAATTTTATAACTTATCAAATATAAGTAAATTTAGGTTAAATTAAATATGAGCAGACTCAAAAATATTTACATTTGCATTTATAATTCTTAATATCTTTATAAAAAAGGATTTCAAATCATATTTTATACATGTAAATTGTTCAAAAAAAAGTTAGCTTTTAGTATGATCTAATTTTAAATTTTTTTAATATTATGTTTAAAGCCTTCTAGTTTTTTTTTTTTTTTGAAAATCACTCCAATTTCTAGTTCATCTCTAATTTTCAGCTTAATAGTAGCTCAACTCTTTTCCAATCTAGCTCAATTATGTAAATTTTTTGATCCAAATCGAGCCATTAACAACTCTGGTCAATGGTCCAACTGTTTAGTTTGGTATGGTTTTAAATTATTAATTGTAAGACACTTTCAACTATTTCACGCATATTAAAAAAATTTAGTTTTTTTCTTCATATCATAAAAAATGTTATATACTTTCATTTTTATCTTTCACTTTAAATAATGATATAACTACATTAAATACCTTCACATTAATTAAGAAAGGATAAAATTAAAAAAAGTGTTTTAATTATTACCATGTGTCCTACATTTTGGATCAACTATTATTTCTAAAAGATGTTTTACAAATAGGATTAAAGGGAGTATTTTTCAAGTTTACACTTTTACAATTTTCAAATGAGTAGAGAGTAAAATTACAGGAGAGAGAAAATATTTTGATGATGATGTATTTAATAAGAGTGAGTTGGAAATTTTGTTTTCTTTTTTAAACAATATCAATAATTGAACTACCTCTAATTGATTTTAGCAAAATAGTTGAAAGTGACTTGTAAATATAATGGAAAGGAATATTAACTAATTGTGTGATTGTGTTCCTAATTTATTGTTTGTCTCTTTATTCCATAACCTGGGACAAATGGTGCATCTCTTCTATCTTTAGAAGTTGTATCTAACTTCAGAAGGTTTGACGAAGATGACATGCTCTAAAATCTCCCACAAATGGCCTCTTCTTAACTTTTGATCGAAGTCTCATCCTGGCTATAATTAACTGCTACTTCCACTTACCTTGCATTAATTAGGATAATGATGTCAAATCTCATATTTTAGAAATAAGTATCTTTAAAAATGTATATCCTCAATGTTAATCAGTAACTTAATTCAACTTTAATAATCAACTAGTTTAGTTTCCTTTTCTACAATAAAATAGTTTAATAAGGTTTCCATCCCTATCAAAAGTATTAATCAGTAACTCATATTCGAATTTATTGCTTTAAAAATATAAGTAAAAAGCACATTCAAATCGCTGGAAAAAGAGGGAAAAAAAACCGACGTCAAATTTACACTAAAATTAATATATTGATCTTTGATATAACAAATAATAGTTGAATATTATCTTTTCAATTATTATTTATTAAAGTGACACCGTATTGATATGTTATCCTTAAAATAAATCAATTAATTGCTGTATTCTGTGAAATATTATGAATACTCTTGGTACAAAATATACGAAAAGACTACTCCAATTAACCGCAAAACTATATATGAGCCAAGTAATATTATTTCTTCCCAAACAGTTCATGGTCCATCCATCCAGAAGCCTGCCGATGAAACCATTGGAGTTCCTTTTTTTTTTTTTTTTTTTTCGGTGATAGAACAGAACCATTATTTGGAGTCATCTTCTGAACAAGGATTTGCCAGTCTAGTCCAATCATGCAAGCAGCAATAGTGAAATAGACCGATCTCTCTCGCTGTGTGTGTGTGTGTCGATTATCTCCTGTCACCTGACCCAAGATAATGGTTTTATTACATGTTTTATTCTCTATCCTTATTCATGATCTTTACGTTTCACTCATACTATACAGAATCGATCATCGTTGTGAGCACTTCTTGTAATTGTGTTTCAGACCATTAACTATATTCGATTTTTTTTTTTTCGCCAAACTATATTCGATTTCATTATTGTGTACTATAATATGATTAAAAGTCTTTACTAGTTACACCGGCCGCTTTAATTAATTGGTAAAGGGTTGGTTCAGTTTAATCAAAAATTTCAAGTTCAAACCCTTGAATAATTCTCGATGGAGGGTATACCTTAAAGAGGTGACTACAAGTTATCAATTAGGTTAGTCTGAGATAAAAACTCGTGAGATACAGTACTGTACTTAACACCAAAAAAAAAAAAGTATTTTCCAGTTCAAAGGACTACCTTTCCCTTAATTAAGTTGCACAAGTTCATGGATTTTTGAACCACGGTTTACTACATTTTGTTGCTTCACACACACCCACACACACACTTATCTCTCTCACACTCCCATAAACCAGATCAGCACCGGATGTGCATGCATGCATTGATTGGAAGTCCTTGGCTTGCCATATATTAAAGCTTTAAAGAAAAGACTAGCCTTATAATAAATAATAATACTGAACCTAACAAACTCACTACAACAGTGTTAGGACTTGGGACTGATCATCTTCATTTTTCCCACCTGAAACTAGTCTAGAAACATATGCATATGTGGTGCTAATTAATGCCCTCTATGGGTTTTATTACTACTACTATTATTGATATTATACTCAAAACCCATGATTGGCTTCATTAGTCAAATTCTGATCTTGGAAATGCTGGTGGTGGTGGTTGGTGGTATCCTTCTGGTATGGAGCTACTGCTCTCACCCACATCAAGCTCTGGTCTATATACCTCTTGATCATCAATCTCTTCTTTTGCTGCTTTCTGCATTCCCAGAAACTCTAAGGGCCTTTGGTGATGATGGGATGGCACAAGATGATGATGATGATGATTGGACTGATTTGGCTGTGTTTGCGTTGGCGGTACGACTGAGGGAAGCTTAGAGAGAAGTGCCTCAAGGCTGCTCATTGATGGAGTGATTTTCAGGGGCTGCTGGTTGAAGTGATCATATAACTCAGGTGGTGGGGGTGCGAGTGTACTGCGTTGGAAATATTGCCATTGCTCGGGGATTGATCCGTACCCTTCCACCTTGTAAGGGTATGCGGAAGATGATGGATGTGGCAACAACACGCCTGGGATGCTCTCGATGTAGCTGAACTTTTTCCTCAGAAGAACCACGTAGCTCAAGTCTTCAATAACCTTCAGTCCCAGACAAAACGAAATGGACATGACATGATGAGTTATGAGTTAGTACTATACAATACTTTAGCACTATACAATACCTTGTGAACGGCTCCCAATTGAACAACACCTTCTCTTACGGCTATGAGGGCTATGGTCTGCAAGACATAATACGATTGAATTTTAATTAATTCATGAAAGGAGTTCTTTTAGTTAAAAGTTAAGGACGATACGATAGGTTATGCATACGAATGTCAAGAGGCTACATGTACCTTTATACCAGACTGGAACTGGGCTTCCCAAGTCCTTGGGTGCTGTAAAGAACATAAATAATGAGGATACCAGACAGTTTTTTTCCCCCTTTTATTTTCTTTGTGGAAGAAAGTGTAAGCATGAAATCATGCATTATATATAGGAAACACGGCGGATTTAGTTCGCATGAAGCCAATTAAACATGAAATCACAAGCTTATGAGATTATCAGCAAGCATATCGACACTTAATATCAGCAGTTTGTGTTATAATAAATCATGATCATGAGCAAGATGGGATTTTTCTAACCGAGTCTGCTGAATTGTGCCACGCTGACAAGAAGTTGATTTCTTGTTCATTTGGTTCTTTATATATCCATTTGTGACTGTGATCTGCAGCAACTTTTCCTATCAACCTGACCCATAGATTTTAATTAGCCTCTCTCTGCTTCAAAATCTCATAAAGTTAAATAGTTATATAGCCTGTTCTAGATATCATTTATATTGTTCGAGGATTAATCTACTGAAGATTGGTGATACGTACCCTTCTCCATAGTTATAGATCTCATGTGACATCTTGAAGAAAAGCTCTGGTTGCAGTCCTTGGTAGTGCTGGAATTCACAGTTCCCGTAGACAGATGAACCAGGGCATTCACCGGAGGTGATTTCAGGCGCTGATGAAGAAGCAAAATTGCAGAAACCATCTTCCCAGACCAATATCCTTCATTGGTGTGTTCAAAGTGTGAGCTTAATCAATGCAATCTTATGCTTGACAAAAGTAAACAACATATCGCAACGACGAAGCCAACGAAGGAAACAATACCAGTTCCTTCTGTTTCCTCTTGATCTATCATAAGCCCCTTGACCTTCCCACCTATCAACAAGGTATAAGAACTGAACATCATAACACACACACACACACACACAAGCCAACTAACTTATATGGAAAATGCATTAATAGGATACGTATCATTAATTAGGCCATGAGAATGTTTGAATTGTGTGGCTGAAGTGAAAAGAAACTGTTTCTATGATCTTTTCTCAAGAATTGATTCAATGGTGTGTGTGTGTATATATATATATATATATCCTCTTCTCACTTGGGTGGTGGGTAGTTTCTGGGCAAGATCCTCCAGAAGACCGCATAAACCCATTGGGAATTTTCATGAATGCACAAGCTTCTGAGTGTGTGTTGAAGGAGATGGGTAACAGCAAGTGGACTGAGATGTTCTTCCATGAAATCTCTCACAATAACCAATTATACGGACTAATGTCTGATCTCTTTCTCTCTCACTTTCACCCTTAATTACCTATAGCTATCTTTAATAGTGGGGAAACCGCAACGTCCTATCCTCCTTTATATAAGCCCACCAACAAGGGACAAGGGAAACTCACATTTATACCCCCCTCTCTCTCTTATACACGCACACACACCCCCCGTTTGGGTGGGGTGAAATTAATGAGTCATATAATTTTTAATTCACCCAAAATATTTTCTGAAGGCCCCACCCCCTTTTTTCTTCCCCGTTCCCCAAGTCTCATTTTCAATGTCTTCCTCTAGAAGACTACCGATCCTCACCCAAATTCATGAACCGTCTATCACCAGCAAAGGCCAAACGTAATAAATAGGTCTGTGTGTGTGTGTGTGTGTGTGTGTGTGACTATGTGCTTGCACAGCATAATGACTCATGAGGTATTTAACCCCATTTCTTTGGTGACTCGTATCTTTCTCTCTCCGAACCCCAATGCAGCAATATTTGTGTGTGTGTTTTCATGGCTTACCGGTCTATTCCCTGACACTTGTAGATATTAGTGCTCATGATTCCAGTCCCAGGAAAACTTCCTAAGCCACTGTCATTTATTCAACTCAACTAGAACCTTACAGGCCATAAATTTTGGCAGAGCATGTTTATCTTACATTCCAACTTTTATTTATTTATTTTTTTCTTCCTGGGTTTAACTCTTCATAAAATTGTGGTCTTCGGCCGTCTGCAACTTAGGTAACAAGATATATAATGGTGCCAACTACTGCCAAGGTATCCGTAGATGAAAGCGAAATATCAACCTTCAAATAACTGTAATATACCAGTTTCTCAGTAGCTAGCACGTAATTAATAATGCAGCAATAACATTACTAAATCAGCCAAAGAAACAAGGGTACTTTGCATTACTGTGACACTGTAAATTATCCATTGCTGCTAACAAACAGAGTGTTGGGGTTTTGATACGATTTATTATTTTAATTTGGTTATCAACATAGTGGAATTCGTGATGCCACAGAATACAATCTCATGTCTCATATATACCACCATGTTTATTAATATTTGGTTGATACAAGGTAGGCCAACTAAAATGTACGAAGAGTTATCTATGCATCTGACACTCTAGCTGCCAGGAATTTTAGTTATTTTCTTAAGCATACAAGAGAGCGTGAACATTTTTACTGCTTCTATTTCTTAAACGTAAAAGCATCTATGTACACATACATATAAAGATATATGTAAGAAACAATATGCTGGAAACTTCTTGATCCAGTGCTAATAAAACGCAAACTTCTTGATGCATTAATGCTAAATAAGAAGACTTGATTGCTTCTTTCTTATTCTAAAATAATTCCTCCGGCACTGTTTTCAGCATTGCACAAGTACAAATGATTCCGTTAAGTTTATGCTGCAGTAGTGCAACAACAACAAAGTCTGAGATTATAATGCATCTTAGAGAGAGAAATATATACATATACACATCTCCCTCAGCGTCTGAATTACATGCTTTATACGACAATCTCTTTATTTCGTACTGGTGACATGATCAGAAGCTTGGGGAAGACATGACCATGGTACATAAAATGACACTAGTACTCAAAAAGATTGTAATTTGCAACCTAAATCAGGTGAACTTTCCTTAACCGAAGTCATGAAATGATCGACATTTGCAGGAACGAAGGTGAACAACACAACTCCATACTCTCTCTCTCTCTCTCTCTCTCTCTCTCACATTCTTCAGAAGTTGGTATCTATATTTTCAGTCTGCACACAAATCTGCAAGTTACATAATGACTAAAAGGAGAGTTCATTATTTTATTTCCCCTCTCTGACACCCAGAAAAGATTGACAGGCCATAATGCGCTCCTCCCTTTGACCATCCTTTAACAAAGAAACTCTCATCACATATCTCCTAGCTGTTATTAATGATTCAGATCGCCTGAAAACCCAACATTTACCACCTTAATTTCTTGACAGTGACAGCATTGCTATCTCCATGATTTCCTATACGGATTCTTTCTATACATTAATGTACAACGCTTGTGCTTGTCTCCCCTCTGACCGTATGTGTGTACATGCATGTGTGCGTGTATGAGAGAGAGGGAGGGAGGGAGAGAGTGAAAGAGAGGGATTAAATTGTCCATGATGCAAGATGTACGATTCCTGAGGAGAGAAAGATGGTAGAGTTGGGGACAGACTCTGAATACGGTGATGCAAGCAAAAGGAAGGTGCTGGGGGCTACAGTTGAATGAGCTTTGGATTTTATTGAAGGTAGAGATGCCTCCAGTGGATACAATATATTGGCATTTGTTCTTTTTAGAAAACCCCTCAAAGAAATATTTAATTAATCAATTTAGAGAGAAGGCGAAATGAATTGAAGAAGACGAAGTTGGTATGGGAGAAAAGAATGGCACAAGAGTCTTGGTCAAGGTACACAGGTGTTGGAAGGATGCCCCATCCCTTTCTTCAATTAAAGGAAGTGGAATCTCTGCCCTCCCATCCTTCCCAATGTCCCATAATTTGATAATATAAAAAACAAACACACACACCACACAAACACTTGATCAGATCAGCAGAAGCAAGAAACATCGATCAACAATTAATTAATTAATCAATCAGAAAGTGGATATTTCTATAATGTCTTTTAGGAGAACAAAACCAGACAATAAAACATTGTATCTAGTAATGCACACTTCTAAGCAGGCAAAGATCCGTCTTCATCAACCTCAGCCCATTGCACAATTAATTTATATTTGTTATATTAGAAAGAACTAGTTAAGGAACAAGAGTTCTATAATTTGTTTATTGGTTTTGGAATGTTGGGTGGCATATTTTATGGGATAATTAATAGCATTAGAGTGGCTTTATTTGTCTAAAGAAGAAGACACGTAAGCCTCACAGCTCAGTTACATGGCTTTGTTAGAAAAAGGATATGCCCTAATTGGCCATCTCGTGACATCTAATATCTCTAAATTTCAGTGTTTCCTTGAAGTGATAGAATTTCTTATCTCCTTAACTAACTGATTTGTATCTGCCCGGTGATTTTATGAATATAATAATAAGGATTCCACATTTCCCAACATTGTCGATGTTTTTGTTCTTATATTTATCTCTTAAATTTATTAATAAGTCATGGATTTGGAAACTCTACACCACTCCTATATACCCAAAAATGCAAGCCTGCCTAAGTCTCTAGCTCAAAATTGGCTCAGTTTCAAATATTTTATTATGTTTTATTTGGTGTGGAAGGCTTGGTACTGAAGAGTTCGAGTTCAATTTGTCTTGTAGAATCTTGAATATGAAAGAAATGAATATCTCCTATTATTTCTCATTTGATGGGATTAGCTTTATGAATGACCCATTATATACTCTTCTGCAACTTAATTAAACTTTTAGGAAAAAGGGAATTGAAAGGATTTATTAACTTTGTGCGTGTATGTGCATAATATGAACATTTAAAGTTCCGCATGAATCACTTAGCCCTAATCTAAACTCAAGGTTATGTATGTGTTTGTATATCATAAATAATTAAGGCTCAAACTAAATGTAGGCAAAATGATTTCAAATTGGACAAGACTTATATATTTAACATTATATATTTAATATACAAAATATACATGTCTTGATTTAATTAAAAAAAATCCCTCAAGTATATAAGTTAAGCATATCAGTTTTTCCTTTCAAATTATGCAATTGATTATAGGTATAAAAATTAGTTTATGCATCCAATCAGTGTTAATAGCAAAATAAGACCTTGCCATATGATATGTGCACGCAATGTCTATGAATAAATATTCTTTGATTGACGATCAATTAAGCCATCAAAAGGAAATTTTCACTTAGTGACAAATTAAATAAATATTTTTTCTTTCTGTGTGATATCAACTCTCGTTAAGTGGAAATAAAATAAAGTTATGCAGGAAGTGGAGAGAGAAGAGAAAGAGAGAGTAAAAATGTAAGTGTTCAGGAAAGAAACGAATGTTTTCTACGAAAAAGTGTAGTTTGTATAGGGTGGATTTCGATAATAGCGAGAAGAAAACAGGACAAAGGAAAGAAGGATGACACTGTCAAAGAATTAAACTTTGGCCAAATAAAGCTTCTGTATAACAAAGTAAAGTATACATCGTTAGATTCTTTATATATATGGCAGCTTCAAACTTAACATATATATACACTACAACTAAAATATGTGAGATGTAAGGGGCACGTATATAAGGGGCGCGTATTTTCAAAGTGTCAATCACAAAATCCATGGCAAATAATTTTTTTCGATGGATTTCATGATGAAAAATTTCTTCCATTATATGTTTAGTATAAACCGAAAAATGATCTCTGAGTGACCTTTTTATACTACATCTAAAAAAATCCAAAAATATTGGATTGCCCTGGGTATCATCAAGTTTAAAAGGTACTTTTTCAATATCATTTTTTTCTATATATCAAGCAATGTTTGAAACCCAGACCAAACGTCAACTTGGAAAGAGCAACGGGTCACAGTTTTCATGGTTCGACCAGTTAGATCGGTGGTTAAACTGATGACATAAAAATTAAAAAAATATTTATAAACACAAATATATAAATAAATATTAATTTGTCGATGGTGCTTGAGATCTCAACGTCAAAGGCTAGATGCCTGGATCGTTGGAGATAAAGGCAGAGGCATGTAGACACAAGCTTACAATGTTGAAGCAAAAACATTAGAATTGGAGGCACACCATCATGTCAAACTCATGAGCTTTCAATTTGATGCTAAAGGCTGGATTGTTAGAGCTAGAGGAAGATATTAGAGGAAAAGTCAAAGATTGAGCCTGAGCCATGGAGTAGAGATCAAAGAGGAGATAAGAGAAGACAGAAGAAACTAGAGAATAGAAAAAAAATGCAAATTTGAGTGACTTAACCTAAATTTTTTAATTATTTTTTCCTTTGAACTGAGTTGACCATTCTAGTTTTCAGGTCAATCCAATTCTTTCAAAACCATCAGGTCAACTCGGTTCAAATGAAAGATTGGTTCTAATTAGTTGAACCAAGCCATCTTGATCAATGAGTGGCGGTGGGACCATCTGATCCAGTCTAATCTTCAAAACACTTATATAAAATTCATA